CTAGGGTGGCCTCTTCTTTATTCTTGGCTTTATTTTCAGAACATGAGGGTAGGGGCGGGCATCAGTGTGCACAAGTGGGCGCGAGCTTGTGAAAACGTGGCACAAAGCACGTGGGTGGGTTTGGAGCGTGGCCCTCAACGTGGCTTCGCAACGCTGCTTGGGTCCCTGTGCAATTCTCTTCCAGCCCGTCTCCCTGACGCCCAGCTGTGTCCTCCATAGGAACCGTGACAGAAAGATTCCCTTCCAGATGAGGGCACTTCTAGGAGATCACACCTCCTGATCGCCCTCTAAAACCCAAAAACATGTTTGAAAAAAATGACATCGTAGAGCTTCTCCCCAAATCCTCCCCAAGAGTAATCGGGGAGCACCGGAAGAGCCCCTTGAAGCCATCAACGCACATTCTCAAAGGATGGCCGCTCCAAAGAGCATGAGTATCTGCCTGCCCCGCCGCGTGTCGGCTGAAACGCAGCCCCGGGATAAACTGGGTCGGACAGCGCGACCCCCACTCCCACGCTCCGGTCAGACCGAGGCCCCGGAGAGCCTTGGGAACATCAGCTTTAAAGAGCAGTTGCACAGTTTTCTGCTTCCTGGTTTTGACCACGGCTGGGATCAGAAAAGTGAACGTCTTCCCCCAGTGAGGTGTCAACCACTTTCATATTTGCAGCCCGGGAAGAGTTTCTGACGCATCAAACACCCTTTGAAGCCTTAAGGGGATTGGGGAAAGGCGGAGGTAAAACACATAGATGTAGCTCATCTCTCCCTGAGTCCTTCTCTCCACAGACGTGCCTCCCCCCTCTCTCAGTCTCTCTCTGTCTCCCCCCCACTTCTCTCCAGTATTTCTTCCATCCCCCCTACCTGTCCGCAGTGCTCTGGTCCAGCTCACCTTTCTTTTCCGGCTCTTCGAGCAGCTTGGGAGAGAGGGCGGAGTGCGCTGAGTCCCACCCTCCTCCCCAGTTTGCTAATGCTTTAGCCCAAGGTAAGTCTCCTGGGCTCTCTGGCTCTCACTTACCTGCTTAAAGAGAGACGGGAACACCTCTCTAGTCTTTGGGAGGATCAACGCCACGTAACACCAGGCCAGGCAGCAGGAGCCCAGATGATGTCCACGGCTACCTCTTCTCCCTTCGGATCAGGGGGTTTTAGGATCCAGCCTCATCACAGTCTTGTGTGCTCAGCCCTCCGGGCAGGGTCACGACTTGGCTCATGATGCCCTTTTCATATTGATAAAATATGTGTCTCTCCAAAATGGGGGAACAAAACAAATAAGCAAACAGCGAGAACAAAAAATTCTGTCTTCTCCTCCATTTGATTCTAAACTTAAGGAGCAGAAAATCTGATTATCTTGCACTCTTATTTCACCTTGACCATGACCCTGCAGGGAAGCGTGTTCATTCTCCTGCCATGTTTCTGGCGGGAGTTAGAGAGGTGAGGTGACTTGCCCAAAGCCACGTCAAGAGTCATGATCTGAATCGGGGTCCCAACCTGGGTCGGTCTGTCCTCTTCCAACCTCGTCCGGAAGTGCTCGGACTGTCTGCAGCACTTCTTTCCTTTACCCATTGTTTGACCCCTTCCCTGTGCCTGATGGGGCTGACTGTGCAGACATAAGCAAGACATGGCTCACGGAGCCCGGGTCCAGGAGGGACAAGTGGCCTGCCATTGGACACCTGTGGTGCAGGGTGGGGGGGGGGTGCTTAACAGGGAAGGTTTGTGGGTGAGGTCCCCAGGCAATGTCATCCCTGACTGTGCTGACACCCCCACCCTTCCCCCTCAGGCTGGGTGCTGGTGGCTTCCTGCTGTGGCTAGTCTCTACGTTGCCTCTCGGGCCCCCAGTGGAGTCCCTGCAGCTTCTGTCACCTGTGTAATTGTGTCTGTGCCTTCATTCCCTTCTGCTGCAGAGACTCGGAGTGTTTTGTGCGTCCCTGTTCGGACCTAGACTGATAGAGCCAGATTATTATTTAGACTCAAAGCAATCATGATTCATGAATATCACTTTCGTCCTTTGGGTATAAAGCATGCATCGAGTGCTGTAGGATTAGCAGGGACCAAAGGTATCTCGGTGCTAAGATACGGGAGGGAAAAGTACAGGATTTTTTATAGCATTTGGTCATGCCATTTCTAAGGTTCTATTAAAAAAAAAAAGAAGCACAGTGAGTATTATCTTTATTGTCTAAGGAGGCTGTACAAATTCATAACAGTCCAGCCTGTCAACAGCCCCAATGTGTATGAGCAGATTGGCATCCTCTGAGAATCTATGACATCATTCTAGGCAGCTCAGCGCCTTAAATTCCTTAACTCACAGCAGCCCTACTGTGACTTGTACCCATTTTACAGAAGAAAATACTGAGGCACTACAGGTTAAGTAAAGAGCCCAAGGGACCAGCGTAGAGAAATAATTTGAATTTTCTTCTTTACTGATTTTCAAAAAACAGTAATTATACTTCTCCAATTGCCCACAGTGAACATGTATATCCTTTAAAGTTAGGAAATAAAATAACAATAACAATTGTATGCAAATCAACTGAAAAGAAAAAAGAAAGAAAAGGAAAAGCAGTGTAGAAGTCTATTTCCTTTTTCTGTAAAGGATTTAATAGTAAATATTTTTGTCATTATTAGTCATCCAGTGTCTGTCACAACTATTTAACTCTGTCCCTCTAGTGTAAAAGCAGCTGCAGGCCATTTGCTAACAAATGGGTGTGGCCGTGTTCCAAAAAAACTTTATTTAAATAGACAAGCCGTGGGCCGGATTTCGCCAGCGGGCCCCAGTGTGCTGAACCACAGCAAGCGCTCAGCAAGGAGGTGCCGAGCCTCGCGCCTCGCGTGATTTCAAACCCTGCTCGGTCGGACTCCTGCCTCCGACTCCACCTTCCCTCCTTCTAGTAAAAGATGCTCGTGGTCCGCTACCCGTGCATCTGCGACCAGAGTCCTCCCCAGTGCTCCTCCTGCATCCATTGTCCTGGAACGAGCTTGGTCCCTGCACTCCCCTGCGGGGTCGCTTTGGAAAACATCAGCTGTCGGCCTTTCTAACGAACAGACCCTGACGGACACAGTGCGGGCTTGCCGCTCCGTCAGGAAATTATGGAAACATGATTAAGGGGGAGAACGGGCTGGGGGAGGCAGTGGATTTGGGGAGAGATGTCAGCCCGCCATGTTGTTTGAACTGGAAATAGCCCCACAGTGCCACAGCCTCGGCCAAATGGCACAGTTAAAAGTAACAGCTTCTTAATCCCAAAAGGCTTGATGTGAAACTTCGGAAAAGTTCAGAATTTCAACTGGAATGAACATCCAGGAGGCACAAGGCGTGTGTCCGACTCCTACCTGCATTTCAATTGCCTCTTAAATGAGCCTGCCCCGCTCTCATTTGGCGAGAGGGTAATTAGTCCCGACCTTCCTTAAGGCCAATTTAGTCCCTTTTAGTCGCAAGTCTTCTTCCAGGGCTGGGACTGCGCCGAGGGAAACGGTCCGAACTCTGCACGTGGAAGGGTGCTCACGGTAGCAGGACTTATTCTGGATAACATGCTGAAGCATCTAGAATTCCTAATGACTGGTAATTGTTTAAAATATTACCTCTCTATAATGGAAGAGTTTATAGCTATTAAATATCATGTCTTAGAGATTTATTGCGTGAACAAAGAGAACGCTCACATAAACAGCTTACACTACAACATACACTATATAATTCTAATTTTGGAAAAAAAAAATGTTGTATCCATGTCAGTAGCTGGAGTTGCACCAAAACGTAGTGATGATTATTTCCGGTGGAATCTGAAACATTATTTTTCTGTAATTTGCATTTTTATATTTTTTTTTTCAAATTTTGCCCGTGAATGTATTTGTCTCTTCAATGTCAGAGAGAAAAGATAGAATAATATTGAGCACAGAAAATAAATAATAAACATTGTCTAAAACATGCAAAAGCTTAAAACAAACTGAGAAATAATATGTATAACATAAAGATAAGATTATAGTATCTTTAATCTAGAAAGAGGTCTTATAAATTAAGAAAATGTAATTCCAACATGTAGTTGTGCAAATAAAATGAACAGAAAACACATTCACACACAATAATCCACAGCCAAGTATACGTTCAAGTAACTACTAAACATGTGAAAAATGTCACCACTAACAATCCAACAGACACAAATGAAACGAAAAAATAAGGTACTACTTATTAGCTGTTACGTTGTCAATTTTTGAATGATATTAATCAGAGTTCGTGAAGACGGATGACTCAGCTGCTCACACCAAGGAGTGTTTCGCATCTAAATTTGTTCATCCTTTTTATAGAAAGCGATTCATCATCGTCATGACAGATGACGTCATCGGTACCTGACTTTGTCCTAATAATTCCACCTCTAGGAATATTTCCTCAGTTGTTTACAAGGTTGCTTCTTGCAGCTTGATTTAAAATATCTGTTTGTAAATGTGGGAACGATATGCATTTAACAAAGGGGAGGTGAGACAGCAAATAGTGATATGTGGACATACACATAGGATAGGAAATTATATGGGCATCCAAATAATGCTTCCTGATAGTTATGTAATGATAGAAACATGCTTTACGAACAATGAGAATAGCATGATACCAAACTATATGCCTCAGTTTAGAAGCATCAGTGCACGTGCATAAAATCACTGGGCGGGGTCTGTAGAGGCAATGGCAGGTACTGATATTAGGAACAGCTTTATTCCTGCATTTTCTAGATGGCCACTAATCCAATAGAAGCAAGTCAGGGTTAAAACAGGCAGACCATACAAAAAAATGAGGAAGAGGAGAAAGAGAAGTAGGAAAAGGAGGAGGAACAGGAGGTAGGAGAAAGCCTTGTTTCCTCCTTAGCCTTTACTTAAGAAAATTCTTCATGCATTTGTTTTAAGAACACATGTGCAGCATTTAATCATACCTGGTACCTGTTCTAAGGCCCATGTCTCATCTCTTTCCACTTTCCTTTGCTTGCCAGTTGCCTGGGTTACGTGTGGCATGGTAAATATTCCAGGCTACTAGTTGAAAATTCTGAAGACAGTGCTGTAAGGATTGCCCTGTGGTTACCTCCTCTCAGCGTCACCTTTATCAAGCATCTGGTTCAAGGGGACTCAGGTAAACAGACCTCTCCTCGCTCCCTTATCGCAGGACTGGCCCCTTCCTACCTGGAACGTGAAACAGGTGGAGGTTATACTGGAACAACCACTATAAATGTCCGGAAGGGATTCTGACAGATTCTCAGCCCTGCCTGAGATCTAGCTGGGCTCACCCAGGGAGATTTAGGATCCACTGATGCCAGGTTAGACCCCAAACCTCGCTCTGTGCAGCTCAGGCATTCGTCGTCAAAGCTGCCCGGGTGATTCTCATACACAGATAGGGCTGAGAAAGGCTGTGCTTTTATTGGCACATGTTTTCTTTCAAAAGAATATATCTGTGGCATAGGAAAGGACCTGCCACAAGGCCAACCCTCTCCTCTATGTTATCATATCAATTATCTAGTGTCATGTTTGATTTTTTATGATCACTCCCTTAAGGGAGAAAACTGATGTCATTTACAATTGAGGGAATAAACTCAGAGGGATTAGGATTTCCTGAACTCTTGCAGTATTTTGGTGTGAAAAGGAAAGAAAGAAAAACAAAACGTCCTGGGTTTCACTCTCGTCTCAGCCATAGGATCTCAGACAACAGCTTTCAGCACCCTGCTCAGTGATCTCTGATGTCCTCTGCTGACAGCCAAGTGGTTCTCAACCGCGTGCAATCGTGCCCCCCAGGGGACAATTCTGATCGTCACTACTGAGGGGGTGGGACAATGGCATCTAGAGGGTAAAGGCCAGAGATGCTGCTGGGTGTCCTATAATGCATGGGACAGTCCCCCATCGCAAAGAAGTATCTAGCCCCCAAATCAACAGTGCCAAGGGTGAGAACTCAGACTTAGTTACAAGCTGGGAGGATGAACTGAGATAATGTTCCCCATTGAGTTTGGAGCAGAGTCCAGCACTTAGCAGAATCTTGAGAAATGCGCCGATCTCCAGTCCTCTTTCTGTCCCTACTCGGGGCACCTGACCCTACGTTAGGGAGGACAGTTACTGAAGGCCAAGCTCGGTGATGCAGGGGTCCAGCCGACACGGAGCCAGCCGATTCCTGTGCCCGGCAAAGAGCGGCAAAGCCCCTCTCAGAAGCCAGCCGAGACAGAGCCAGTCCTTTTCTGGCTCTTGGCTTTATCTGCCCCCGGCATCTAGTGTTCACCTGTAGAGAGGGACGAAGTGTAAGGAGCAGGAGCTGCAGCCCAGCTCCCACGGTCTCGCGGGCACCGTGAGAACCGTGGTCTCCCCGGAGGAGGAGGAAGCCGTGGCCGAGGAGGCGGCTGCACTTATCACTTCCTCCCATCGCCAGTGGGTTGGGTTGCTCACCTCCAAAGTAGGCCAGACTGCTCCAGGTCTCGTTAGGGGAGAGACCCAGAAACCAGCGCGGCAGGAAAAAGCAGCTCTGCGGGTCTCTGGGAGCTGGGGGTGAGGCCGCCCCAGGACTGCCCCAGGGCCCAGAGAAGGAGCCCGTGGCTGGCGATGTGGCTTGCAAAGATTCCAGGGGAGAAGAGGGCTTTAGATGCCAAAGGACAAGGCCAGGGGTACTAGGAGCTTTGTGGACTGAGGAGCCTGTTACTGCCTTTTGAGGAGGGAGAGCGAGGAGGAGAGGTTCTGAAATCTCCAGTGCCCTGCGTGATCCTGCTTCAACCGTGACCTGCCGAAGGAAAGACTACTCAGCGACACTCGTTACAGCATGGCCAGGGGTGCTTTCTCCGGGATCATTGCCGTAGGGACCGGGGGTCACTGCAATGGGATTTTGCATTGGGGGCCAGATTGGGCTCAACTCCAAATATAGCACAGGCCAGTGGGGATTTATGGCCAAGGAGCAGGGTGGGGTCGGGGCTGGAAAAGTGCTGAGAGGAGACAGCAGGGGTGAGGGGGATCCTGGCCAAACCAACTTAACAGAATCCCTGCTGCAGACAGGCCAGGTGGGCGGTCACACACCACCCAGAGGGGAGGTGGAGGAGGAGGAGTCTGAGCAGGTATGGAGGGTGGAGGGTTCCTGCTAGCCTGCCTTAGCAGGGCTCTTTGCTAAAACTGGGTTTTAGAGGAAGTGCACAGGTGGGCCTGGGAGGAGGTCCAGACCGACTGCAGCTTGGCCAAGCGGCGACTCTTGGCCAGAGGCCTGCCATGCCGTGGGGCAGCGGCAAACATCCCTCCTTGGGGGCTGCAGGAAGATTCCAGGAGGCAGGAGGACCAGGCCCTTCCCTCCTCTGCGTCCCGCTGGGAAGCCGCATCTGGCAGAGTGACGACACTTTCCATTCCAGTCCTTGGAAGCCGTGAAGAGTTAGGAATGAGTTCCCAAGTGATGACTTTGCAGTTTTCCCTCCAAAAGATGATTTCCTGTTGAGAACTCTCCCGGACCTGAAGCCGGTCTCTCTGCTCCGCATCCATGGGAGATGGCACATCCTCAGCAAGCCCCTGGATGCCCCTCACCCTCCAGGAGCCGCCGGAGGCCTTGTAAACCCGCCCATGCATGCATCATCCTTGATGGCCCCTGACTTCTGGCTACCCCTGTCCCTGGAGAGGAGCGTTGGTCCCCCTCCCCGCCCTGGACCTGCCTCCCGAGCACTGCCTGAGCTCCCCGAGGGCAGGAGGTAGCAAGGTGTCACCCTGCACTCCCGTGCCTGGGGCCATGCCTGGAGTGGACAGCAGTCCTCCATGATCCGTGGTTTTGCTTTCGGTGGCTTCAGTTTCCCGTGTTCAACTGCAATCTGAAAATATTAAATGGAAATTCCAGAAGCAAACAAAGCACGGGTTTTAAATTGCGCTCCACTCTGAGTGGCATGAAGAAATCTCGTGCCGTCCTGCCCTGTCCCCTCGTCCAGGGTCCTCGAGCCGACACACTGCCAGCCTGCTGGTCACTTGGTGGCCATCTCGGTTGCCAGATCGACTCTCGTGTCGACTCTCGCGCAGCGCTGTGTTTGTCACCCTTGCCTCACTTAATATTGTCCTCAAGCACAACAGCAGCGGTGCTGGCAGTTGGGATACGCCAAAGAGGAGCTGCAAAGTGCTTCCTTCAAGTGAAAATGTGGAAGTTCCCAACTTAACGATGAAAGAATAAAAATCATATACTGGGGTTGCTAAGATATTTGGTAAGAATGAATTTTCTATTCATGAAATCATGAAGAAGTAAAAAGAAATTCATGCTAGTAGTTTTGCTGTTGCACCTCAGGGTGCAGAAGTTAGCACCAGGTGTGTGATACGGGCCTGGTTAAGATGGAAACGTCACTATATTTGGGGGTGGAAGCTATGAGCAGAAACGGGTTCTAATTGTCGGTAGGCAGATTCGGTAGCAGCCTTGGTTGCAGGCATCCACTGGAGGTCTTGGAATGTATCACCCAGGGATGAGAGGGACCACTGTAGTTCAATTATTGTCCCTGTAACTAAAGGGTTCACCTCTGAAGTCCCATAGACATACTCATAGACAGATCAGTCATCTGACCTCACTAGAAGACCAACAGGCTATTGTGCAAACCGAGATAGTGAATCATCGACTCCCAAAAGGTCACACTGGCCTGACTCACTTCTGTCACAGTGTGTGTTCAGGCTAGCCAGAGGTGGCCTGCTGTGCAAATGCCCCTCTTTAGATATAACTGCACCAATGGGGTGTTGTTGGCTGGAACAACTATCCATCACTGCCTCATCTTCGTGCTGCTCAAATCTGGGGATGTAGATCATTAGGAAATGTTTATTACAAATATGAAAAATCAAATTTGCAAAGCAATGGCATGGCCCAGATATATAAATATGGTATCTTTTCCCCCCCTCCTGGACCCCATGAAAAATAGGATGGGGTAGTGGATTGAGAGTTCAGTTTGGGGCCCAGCTCTGTTACTTATTAGGCTTATGACTTTGAAAAAAGACCAAAATGTGGCATCCTCTCTGCTCAGGTCCTCACATAAGCCCTGGTCATTACAGGAAATCAATGGAGATAGTTCTCACTATGGACTTCTTCCATGGGCCCCAAATAAAACGTACAGAGAAAAAAGGACGTTACTACATACTGCATATACACACGTGTATGATTCACACCAGCATACTCTCATCCCTGTATGTGTTCCTATCTATGCATGCTTTTCAAATGTTAGTGCTGAACGTGGCGTATACAGTGGTGATTAAGAGCCTGGTCTGCCTTCAACCTCCCTGGGTTTTAATCTCAACTCCACCATGTACCAGCCACACGCCCCGTGTATGTCATGTTATCTTCTGTATGCAATGGGAGTGACGTGTCATCTACTGCTCAGGTGGTTCTCCTGGTGGCCAAGGGCATCGACTCCTGGGCCAGGTTTCCCAGGTCTACATTTCAGATTTGCCAACCGTGACCTTGGCAAAACACTGGCCCTCTCTGGGGCTCAGTCCGAGTCTGTGGGATCACAGACTCCTAGGGTTGCTGTGAGTATTAAATGAGTCAGTACATGCATGGCTCTTAGAACAGTGCCCAACACATCTGACACTCTCTACGGCTCGCTGTGTGGGTCCGGTGGAAGTCAGGCGAAGATATACACACAGCACTCAGAGCAGCAATGTCAGAGACAGGACCCCAAAAGTGCTGTCCTTTGTTCTGGCTGTAGTGTTGGTTTCGTTGTTGGCATTTCTATTTTACAGAAGCTTTGAGGCTCCAGAGGATCATTCACAAACATGTGGCTCACAAATGACACAGGGCAGTTCCAATGGCTAGTGCCGTCTGCAGCAAAACAGGGTACCTCTGCAACACGAGACTTAATGGCTTACTTTTCTTAGAAGCCCTGGCCACTGATTCTGCTGTGTGAGGCAGATTTAAACTTGGACTAGAAGGCATCTTTTAAAAATCTTTTCTTAACTTTCCACAGCTGGAAAGAGAAAGAAAGAAAAAATATTTAGAATGACCTACGAGGCCTGTGTGAGCTGTTCCCTGACCACCTCTCCTGCCTTGGCTCCCAGAATGTTCTTTCTAATGGCTCCAATCACATTTGATTTCAGTTTATTTAATATGTTAGAATCCTTCCTGCTCTAGGTCTTTGTGCATACCAGTCCCTCTTTCTGGAATGAATGAATGCATGAAATATGTGTTTGATGCTCATTTTCCCCTCCATTCTTGTCTCTTGCTAATCTGATACTTTCCTTTCTGGGAGGAAAACCTAATGGGGGTGGAATGGAGGTGTTTTTTACACGGGCTTCTGAGGCTCCCCAAAGTCCCACAATCAGAAGAAAAGCAAAAGAAACCAAAATGCCAAACACGCAGGGATCAGTCTCAATGCCCAACTTCCCACTTTGAATGCGCAATTGCTGGCGACAAATTATGGCCGGAGGTAACCATTGGAAGAATTGCATTACATCCACCAGCCTGCAGAAAACACTCAGACTGGCTGTGCATGGATGTGGTCACTGCCATTGTTGACTAGTAACCTGGCACAGTCCTAGGCCAGCTACACACACATCACGGGGTCCAACCCTCCTGGTAACAGTAGGGCTGGCTATTCACAGATGGGGAAACCAAGGTCCAGAGATGTTAAGTAGCATGAATCAAGGTTGCAAAGCAATGCTAGAAGAGGTGGGGCTCAAGACCAGATCCATCTGATTCCCTTAATCAGTCACTGATTGACTTGATGCGTATTTATTGAACACTGCTATGTGCCATGCCCTTTGGCAAACCATGAGGTGTCAACTGTGGCCAACAGACACGAGGCATGTGCCTGAGGGAGCTTGCAGTCTAATTCAGACACACATGAGTAACAGAGGACCATAATACGTATGATATAGTACAGAAAAGAGGCAAATGGCCTAGCCCAGCCAGTCATTTCAAGCTCTATACACTAAGTGTATCTGTTATAAATACTGTGTAACAAACCAACCTGGAACTTGACTTAAAACAGTGGCCACTTAGCTCACAAGTCTTCAGGTTGGCAGTTGAGACTGACTCAGCTGGGCAGGTCTTAGAGGCCAGGCTGACCTTGGCTACCCGTAAATCTGTGCTCAGCTGGCGTGTTGGCTGGTCAGGGCTGGTTCTTGTTTGGGGTAACCTGGGTCTCTCTCCACGTTCCATCTCTTTCCTTCCAGCAGGTTGGTCTGAGCCTGTTTGCATACTAGTCAAAGAGTTCCCGGGGGCAAGCCCTCTTGCACAAGTATTCTTCAGGTCTCATATTTAGGTCTTAGTTCACATCACGCATGCTGTTGTTTCATTCACCAAACCGAGCCCCACCTCCCAGTCCTGAGTCTCTGTGTGTGGGCACCCAAGGGCTTGGGCACAGAGAGGCTTCAGCAAACTGGGTCCATCACCACAGCCACTGGTGACAACTAGACTGAGACAGGAGGGCTGAGAGCTGAGCAAGGAAGAAAGAAAGGGTAGATCCGTGAGTGAGGTAGCTTGGGAAGCAGGGCGAGCAGTGGCACGCAGGAGGTTGCAGAAGGCTTCAGCCTTGCATCATTCCTGCTTTCTGTCCTTTTCTCTCCAGACCCATATGTAAGCCCCCGGGCTCCCAGAAGGAAAGGAGTGACTCACGCACGTCTGAGCCAAGCACGATCTGGGCAGTCCTTCGGCAAACTCAGTGGCTGCCAGTCAATGGGGATCCAGAGAATGTCAGTCCCGGCTTCCGAGCCCAGCATCTCTGGGTGTCAGGCCAAGCTATGCAGTGGTTTGTGCCCGAAGCCAAATGACACTCAGCGTGATAGCCACGGGTTAGCTTTCCTATGTATTACAAATAAAAATTAAATTAAAGATAGAGGTGGGTGGGGCTGGAGCTTGGTGGAAAGGGGTACCAGGGGAAAAGGGATCTGACGTTTTCTTTTTAACTTGGCAAATGTGAACCTAAAAGGTTTCTTTTAAGTCGAAACGACCATGTGATTCTACCTCCTGCCCCCCGAAGCCTGGTTCTGATTATTAGCTGAAGTTCAGTTCATGTTGGGGCGTTGCTGGTGGGGCAGCCAGGGAACAATGACCCCTTTATTCAAGGAGGGAAGCTGAGCCTGGTGGCTGGATGAGCTGCCCGGCCCGTGGGCATGGGGTCAAGGCCACATCAAACCACATTCTTCCTCCATGGCCAGGACCCCACGGCTCTCGTCCTGTGTGAGTTCTCGAGTCATGGAAAACCGCAGGAGTGTCCTCGGGAGCCTGGAGTGAGATCCGGGGTCCAAGACTGCAGCTCCCAGTGTAGACGTGGCAGCCTCCAGAAACCGCTGCGTCGTGCTGAAGTGCTGCAGGGGTTGGACAGACGGAGCAGGAGGTAACAGCTAGAAAGGCCTGGGAGAAGAGGCCTGGGGTCAACAACGTCCTCTCTCCCCACCCTCACAGAGAGGCAAGGGGGTGGCCCTACGGCTGAGGACAGCGCTGGAATGACCCTGCATAGCTATCGCCTTTGCAGCTCCTAAATCTCTTGCACATGCAGTGTCCTCCTGAGTTCACCAAATACCACTCCAAGGCAGAAATTTCTAAGCCCGTTTTGACATATAGGGACACTGAGGCTCAGGGCAGTTACTTGTCTGAGTTACAGCTCGTGAGGGGCACATGAGCAATAAGCGGGGTCTTTGGATGTCAGCCACATGTCTGATAGAGTAGAAAGGGCACAGATGACAAGGCAAAAGATCTGACAGGCAGTGTGCAGGTAGGAAAGTTTCTAGAACTTTCTATTTTCTCATTTCTAACTCAGGAAACTAACTGCCTTGCATTTATTCAGGGAAGTGTCTAGGCTGGGCCTCGCACAAGATAGTGCTTGTCTGGTGGCTATTGTTGATAGGATCACTCCTCCCGTCTCCCCTGCCTGCGGTGTGTCCCCATCTTGGCCCCCTGGGGCTGGCTCCGCTCCTAGCTCTGCCCAGGAGGCATTGAGCACCAGAAACCTGGGGAAGGGGCTTTGGTGAGACCCAGATCCAAGCTCAGCCGCCTGCCAGCCCAGGCTGTGAGAACGCGTTCCAGGCAGAGGCCTGGGCTATCCCTGAACGCTCCCCTCAGCCGAGGCCAGGCTGCCGGTAGCCACCGTCTCATGGGGATGTGGGGGTGGCCTGGACCCCGCCCTCAGCAGAGCTTCCTCTTGCTCTGGCTTGGATGGAAGAGGGGAAGAAAGCATGATACACACACCCCAAACACAGACACACACACACACACACACACACACAGACACACACACACTCTCTCTCTCTCCACGGGGAGGTTCTGAAATCAGAGGAAGCTGGGTTCAGCAGGGAGCTGTGACTTACGAGTGGGTGACCTTAGGCATGTTATTTTATTTCTCAGGGACTCAGGCTTTGCATCTGTAAAATGGGGATGATTGAATTTATGTAAGCATTCACTGAAATTACAGTAAATCATTTGGCATGACATAGGTCCTCAGCACGTGTTAGCAAACCAGCACCCCTTTAAGTTCAAAAGATAGAATGTTCATCTATCTGTCTTAAAAAGGAGAAAAGTGAAGAGGAAGGGAAGGGAGGGGAGAGGAGAAAAAGGGGGGAGAGGGGCAAAGGGAGGGGAGAGATAAAAGAAAGGAAGGAAAAGCAGAAACATCTCCAATCGTAAGGGTATAAACTCAGGAAAGAAAGCAGGGAGGCGGGTCATCTACGTTTCCAGGGTGCTGGCATTCATGGCGTCTGCATTGTTCTTTGACTCTGATGCCTTTCCCTGGCTCTCCCCAGTTATTTCCATGAAGAAGCCGGGCAGAGCCCGAGTCCAGCTCCGGAGGCAGCCGCCCCGTCCTCCCAGGGCTCTGCTCCGCTCCTCTTAGTCCCCAGTGGGAAGGAAATCCCAGCTCTCAGCTTCCCAAGGTCAGAGTAATTGAAATTCTCTGTCCGAAGCCCAATTTTCCAGCTGAGGACTCTTACAGTTGTCAAGACATAAAGACCCAAAATGGGCACTTTTCAAGATGACCATGAGTGTATAATTAGTCGATTAAAATTGTCAAGATGTTACTTTTGGTTAGTTAAAAGATGTATCAAAATCATTCTGTTGTTTCGGGGCAGGCTCTGTGTGTGTGTGGGGGGGGGAGCCCGTGTTCACACTCGCGCATGCTAAACGCAGACCCAGCAGAGATGGGGGACTGGAGTGGTGACTTTGCCACAAAGAAACATCTTTATTACTGACCACCCTGGCAGAGGAGCGATCTGGGCATACTCCGGAACGGCAGAAGATGCCACCTGAAGTGCCCCTGGCCCTCCCTCATCCTTCTGCTGCCCCCACCTCCTGCAAGAAGAAACCCAATGATCCTTCTGGGCTGAGCAGAGCACCAGCCTCTCCCTCCTGTCTGAAATCCAGACAGGTAGACACCAGTCTCTCCAGTTATTAGCTGGGGACGCCGGGTGTTTAGCCTGGGTTTGCTCATCCAGGTCGTGGGAATCACTCTGCCTGCCACATGGATTTGTTCTGAAAATTAGTAGGACCCAACAAATGAGAAAATGTCACTACAGTGAGGGCACATGACACAGGACATGAATTTCATGCTCAAATCACAATCAGCCCCCTTCCTTGCCTCCTACTCAGCCCCCCTTTTTTATGTGAATGATGTTGACAGCGCAGAAGAAGCTGAATGTGGGACTTTGAGGCACTTCCCCGTCAAGCACCAAGAATTCAGCACTGTCACTGTTGCCACTACCTCATGTGGAGGGGAAGAGAAATGACAAAGAAGGTTTGGAAGTCAGCTAGACCTGAGTGTGAATTTTATCTCTGCCTTAATAGACATAAGACCTGTGGCAGGTCCCTCTTTGGGCCTCAGTTTTCTCTTCTGTAAAATGGGGCTAATGTACAAGGCTCCTGTGAGGCTTACTTGGGATCTCACACAGTGGGAAATAAAGGAACCATTGCTAATTTTTGCAGGAAAATATGTTCAAGAATTATTTAATGTGCTCCCCACAAATTCTGCACCTTCCACTAACCTCTCTCTCTCTCTCTCTCTCTCTCTCTCTCTCTCTCTCTCTCTCTCTCTCTCTCTCTCTCGCACACACACACATAGACACACACACGAGCACACAGATGCAGATATACATACTCCCTCACACTCACATTATACATGTTTCTGCATCCTAGGACCTTTCAGGCCCACACGAGCAGCCAGATGGAAGGCACCCGCTACTTTGGAGAAGACCTGTCACAGCAGACCCAGAGAAGTGACACATCCAAGTTTTGGCATTAGAGTGTCAAAAGATGTAAGTTAAGAGAAAGATTTAGAGAGATGCATGATCAGGCGGTCTCGTCTCTACCCTAAGATTAAAAGAAAATAACAATAAGCCTCCTAGGTAGGTGTTATGGGCCGAATAGTATTCCCCTCATATTTATGTGTTGAACATTGAGGTCCCCACGGCCTCAGAATGTGAATGCTTTTGGAGATACAACCTTTAAAGAGGTGATCGAGTTAGAGCAAGATTGTGGTGGTGACCCTCATCCGACATGACTGGCATCTTCCTGGCAAGAAGAGATTAAGACACAGACGCGGACGTGGAGGAAGACCGTAAGGGGACACAGTGAGAAGCTGGCCACCTGCAAGCCAAGGAGACAAGGCCCCAGAAGAAACCAGCCTTGTCGACACCTTGATCTTGGACTTCCAGCCTGAAGTGTGAGGACATTATTTCTGCTGTTTAAGCCCCCCGGTCTGTGGTGCAGCCTATTAACCTACTGCAGCAGGAAAGGGAAATCAAAAGAGGAAAATGGCATGGTGAGGTCCCTTGGACACCCCAGAGAAGGGGTCCTGTACCTGCCGCATCCCTATGGGATGTGAGGTCTCGCAATGGGACTCCTCGGCAGGTGTGCGCGAGGTGGGGACAGGGAGGACTTGAACCCAGCATCCTCTGTGCCTGGAGGTGGTGGGGCCCCCCACACACCTGGGAGAGCAGGACATGGCTGCAGGGGGACCCAGGCTCCTCGCTCCCCATCGGGGTACAGAGCATGGATGCTCTGCCTGTGTAAGCGGAAGGGGCAGGGCTGTGACCCGGAGAGCAGAGGGCATGGAGAGCCCTGGGCGGGGGGAAGGGAGCAGCTGTGGGACTTGGGGCGTGCAGACGGCTCAGCGAGGCGGGAGACCACCCTCCCAGCGCTGGGCGCCCTTCGCCGTGAAGCTGAGACCTGACCCCAGGGAGTAGAGGGAAGAAAGGTTGGGGTTTTATCTTTAGGGGGAAAAGAACGCCAGATAGAAACTGAGTTTACTGTGGTAGACTGAGCAATGCCCTCCCAGACCCCAAATGCTCACATCCTAATCCCCATAATCTACGGATATAGGTTTTACCTTACATGGAAAAAATGGACTGTGTAGGTGTGATTAAACTAAGGGTCTTGAGATGGGGAGATGACTCTGAATTATCTAGGTGGGCCACTGCCATCACCAGGGCCCTTGTAAGAGGAAGACAAGAAGGTCAAGGTAATAGAAGGTGATGGGACAACACAGCCGAGTGACTTGGCCACTGGAGTCCTCTAAGAGCTAGAAGAGGCAAGTAACGGATTCATTCCTGGAACCTCCAGAAGGCACCAACCTTGGTAGCATCTTCGTTTAGCTGCTAGATTCATTTAGGAATCCTGACCTTCAGGTAAGAATTGTTAAGGGAACGCATTTGTGTTAAGACATTAGATGTGTGGTAATTTGTTATAGCAGCAATTGGAAACAAATACACTTAGTTACAGAAAACTGAAGAAGGCCGCCTCCCGTCTGCAGATTGCGTAATGTCCACGTGGGGACTGCTGCTTCTTGAGAGCACCGTAAACACCTTTGCAGAACCAAGGTCCTCAGTGCCCCTGGGCAGCGTGCTGAGGATGACCGTCACAGAGTGGGTCACCTGGGCAGGGTTAGCTGCAACTGATCCTTGCCACTGTCACGTGGACAAAAGCGGGTCAGAGCTCCGTCAGCCTCAGAGCAGCCCCACGGCTCAGGGACTCAGGGTGAAGGAATGGGTGTGAAAGTATAGGGCTTTCACCCAAATCTGGTAAAATAAAACTAGTGCAGGAAATTCTTACCCCCTGGTGGTTCTAAGGCGGGCATCCACTTGTACTTCATACCTCCGCAGGGCACACTGGCATTCTTGTTTTTCTAAGGAAGAAAACGATTGTCAAGGAGATCACAGTGACTTACCTAATGGGGCACAGGGTGGGATTTGTACCAAGGTCCTCTGATAAGAATTCGCCCCCTCCTGTAAGGTGATATCATGCTGTCTCTGAATGCAGACCCCCGGGTTAGAATCCCTGTGCACCCTCTGGACTAGGCACTCCAGTTGTGTAAGCCTCAATTTTGTCTTCTCTGAAACAAAGGAGGCCCCGAGTGAGCCTTAAATTGATGAGTCCACGTCACAACCAGATATTGTTGCCCAAACCACAGGGGGGTTTGGTCTAGGTCTTGTAGATCATCGCACAAAAATCCAAGTATTGAGACATTGAGGATTGCCGAGGAAGAAAGGAGTCTTTAACATGACAGACATCTTGTCAGGAGGACAGGAGAAGAAACTGCCTCAAATCTGTCTGGGATTAAGGAATATCTTGGGTTTGGGAAGGTCACCGTGTATCGCTCAAGGGGTTACAAGCGCTGGGCAGGTTGTGGGGGATGGTGAGCCGTGGCATCATGAAGTCTGCCCTGGGGCCTTCAGAATCTAACTCTTTTGTCCTGCAGAAAATCCATCATTTCAGGGGTGCGGTGGCTTACGGCTATTATCCCAGCACTTTGGGAGGCCAAGGCAGGAGGATCACTTGAGGCCAGGAGTTGGAGTCCATCATTTCTGGGAAACAACTCAAAGGGTTAAGTAGTTAGTTAAGGGAGAAGGTTATAGAAAAACATATAGGGGCTCCCGGAGCTGGTTGCAATACGACATGGGGCCGATCCTATTAAGTGCCTAATAAACATTCGCTTTTACCTGGAAATTTTGTATTTAGGGGTGGCATATATTTCATTGTATCCCAAAAATTGGTTCAAGGGGACTTTTTGAAAATTGTTGCTTGTGGTAAGTTGTTTTCAAGACACTATAAGAATTCACTAGTTTTCCTTTCTCAGCAGAATCTACACCGTCTTTCAATCAAATCAAACCTTGCACTTAGATGGTCCCAGTCTCTAGAAACTGCCCTTCTCTCTTGCCCCATGGCACCTTCCTCACAGCTCTTTCAGCACTCAACGGCTTTCTATATTCCACTGGAATTTAGATCCATCCCCTGGTTCGGTGGCAAGCTCCTTTGGAGGACCAAAGAAATCCTGCTCTGCGGCATGTGTTTATCCAGGCATCCTATCATTCAAAAAAATGCACCATCCAGGATTCAGAAAACAGAAACCACACTAGGTATGTCAAACAGAGAGGATTTAACACGAGGAGCTGGCAAACTGACAGAGCAATGGGAAATCAGTATCACGCGGAGACATGACCAGATAAAACACGCAGTAAGTAGCCACCTCTACGGGGTCAGAGAGCAAGAGGGAAGTGGTGGGAAGCCCAGAGGACCAGACCCCTGAGCCGGGCCCCGCCGGCCACTGTGTGTGTCTGAGGAGCCATGAAGAGGCAAGCTCGGGAGCGAGGAAGAGGGTGGAGATGGATCCTGTTGCTGCCGCTGGAGCAATGCAGATGAGGAGCCAGAGAGATGGAGAATTACGTTCTTTTCTCTCCTCCCACCTTCCTGTCTCCCTCCCGTGCCTCCCCTTGGTGCAACTCAACAGGAAGCCAGGGATGCAGCAGTCCGGGAGTGCAGTTCACAGACTCCAGCCCAGCATCAGAGAACAGAGCAGAGAAGGGTTTCTTTGGGGCTGAGAACTGGTAAGCAAGTAACCACCATAATAAGTATTTATGGAGCTTCTACTCAGGGCTCAGTTCTCTGCTCAGGGTCACGTTCATTGCCACAAGTCCTTATCCCAAATTTTTCTTTGACCTAACATTTCGTAAGGAAGGGAGTGCATCTTTCTTCCAATATTGAAACTTGGGGTGCACGCGCATGGCATAGCACAATACGTGATCAGTTTGGGGTCTCCACTACTCCTGGATTCTGCTATCGTCTCTGCTCCTTGTTAACCGGCTGGCCCAATCTGGTAACGAGACTTCTCTGAGCTGTCTCCTCTTCCCCTAAAAATGCTGTGCTTCCTCTCTGAAAGAAAAGACCAAAAGAAATACACAAAAGCATGTTTCCCAAGTTGGCTGAGTTAGACCTGCCTTGCTGGACACACGGAGCCAGAGACTCTGAGGCGGAACATTTACTCTGGTGACCCAGAAATCGCCGGAGTGCGGCTGAACCGCCTGCCGTCAGACAGGACCCCAGCCCCTGCGGCGCCGGATTCCATACACTTTGCCCAGACAGGAATTGAGGCAGGTGCTGCCTTTGGTTCCCAAGTTTGCCGAAGATCAAGTATCATCCAACAGCAATAGATAATTCTTACTGAATAGAAGAGAAAGGAAAGAGACAGCCAGGTATCTTTATGGTTTACACAGTCACCGGAAATCTGTCACAGATGTGTCATTTTATGCCGCAGTTTCTGCAGCAGGGAAACGAAGAGCAAAGAAATTAGAATAAAACAAACAGGCTTATGGAATAGTGCCCAGCTCCATTATGGATCTTAGTTCATTTAGTTCATTTAGTTCTTGCGACAGCCCTATGAGGTCAATACTACCATTCCCATTTTCCAGACAAGAAAACAAAAGTCTAAAAAGATGAAATGTTTTCCCCAAGATTCCACCATCCCTTTCAGAACCTGAACTACAGCTGAGAACTGCCAGATATAACATTTTGTCCTAGTCTTGATCTGTACAGAATGCGACATAGGATGCCATAAAATCCATAAATTATTGGACCCTCACTTTTCTCCCTTGGAAAGAGGTGACCATTAAGGGCATTGCCAGCTCAACGAGCTGTTGAATCTGTGCTGATCATTGAAAATGTAGGGGATCCAGAGAAAAGCCAATTGCATGAAGACTGCTAGTGTAGCCAACATGCAAAGCTTTGGAAGCAGAAGCATGTTTAGGTTTTTTTTTCCCTTGCCCAAGTTGTAGAAGCCCTTGCATATGGTTGTCTTTATTTTAATGTGCATGAATAAAATATATGCTTGTGAACTGATGTAGTCCGCGGGCTTTTGAGATCAAACAGTTTTCTACTCCAGGTGAAATGTGGGAATGACAGATAATGTTGTCAATATGCTATATTTTTGTTAGGTTGAACAAACATGGCCATAGCAATCATTTTCATCATATATACGTGTGTGCATTTGTGTATGTGTATGGGAGGCGTATTTAAGAATAAGATTTAAGGAAAAAAAATCAATAAATGCAAAATTTTCCATAAAACCTTCAGTGAGAAATATCCCTCCCTCTTCCTCATGTATATTAAAGTGAGCAGAATTTGCTGACTTGCATAATGCAACACCGAGTGATTACTGGGAGGTATCCAAGGTGATTAAATAACCACAGCATTTGGAGGCACCTGGAAATAAATATCCTCATTTGAAAGCTGTGCAGTCAGTAGACTGTAATGGAAGGGTTCTTTGGGTATTGGAGACTTTACCTCGTTCCTTCTTTGCTATAGAGAAGCAGCACAGATTTGTGGGCTGTGTGCAATGTTACACATCGTATGTGAACAGCATATGAAATGCAAAATGTATTTATATTAATATATAATGAGGTAACATTAGTGAGGTGAGTGCAAACTTTGGAGTCAGACAGATGCCGTATTTGAATTTGGTCTTGGCCTCAGGTAAATAACCCAACTCTCATAAGCCTAAGTATTCTCATCTGTGTAATGGAAATAATTATGGTCAGCAGAGTGTCTACTCTTTAAATTATAGCTATTATTAAGTCTGGCAACAATAATAACAGTGTGTCTTTTGCTGAGTGACCATACTAGAAAATCTACTGAATTCATTAATTACTTTAATTCTCGCAACAACTTCATGTTAGCAATGTTTCCATTTTGCAGAGATTAATATTGAAGTTCAGAAAGGGTAGCTACTGGATTTTGTTGAATTTAAGGTGAAATTTGTTGAAGGATATGCCACTAAATTATGTACTACAACGAGAAAACAAATTATGCTGACCATTCTTATTGTCAAATGTCACCAATTGTAAGATGCACTCTATTTCAGATGTTAAAGCATTTCTTAAACTATTGCCTTAGAATCAATAAACCATGGTAAATTCCTGACATCACACATCTATTAACTGGCAGGACCAGGATACAAACACAAGGCCTTAGAACAAAGAACAGTGGACTTGTTCCCAAGCCAGGATGAAATCTCGCACAGCACGGAAACCCTGTAAATACATACTTAGGTAACAGAGTATGTGTCCCCTACTTACATACTTTGTGTTGCATGTTACAGAGTATGAAATCTCAAACCACATATCCCATGTATGTGTGTGTATATAATTTACTTTTTAGGCCAGTTCCCACTTAAGGATTTTTAAGAAATAATCCTGAAACAAGAAATAATTTAATTAGGTATGTAGTTTTGAGGAAAAGAAATCTGGGAATTCTTTTGGAAATGAAAGGTGGAGATAAAAGCAAGTTAAGCTGCTGTTGCTGTTGTTTGTGAAAAGGTTACCGTTCAGCCCCTGGGCTTGTGAAATACGCCCGTCTCAGTCTCAATCTACGTCCTCCAGCCCAGTTTGTTACAGGTTAAAATCTCCGCTTTTTAAAATACATACAAGGATAGCTTCGGGCAATATAAAAATACCACTTTGTAATGGCCAGGCTCCCCTGAGGTATACAAAATATTGGGACTGACTTGCTGAGTTATAATGAAACTAAGGCAGACTTCTTGGAAAAGAATTAAAGTTGACATAAAACACGACCAGTTTAACTAGTAGGAGAGAGACTAACAAAGGAGGTTGACTAGATAATTCATATTCCAAACTGATAGCATTTTTAAAACGTCAATTTTTTTGAAAACCTGCTGTCTGCACCGGCCCTGCCCTCCAATACCCTGAGAGCCGGGTGTTGCAGGCAGGGAGCCCACAGGTGCTCGTGCTAGCTTCCTAGTTGGTAAACCTGTGCCCAGGTTGGGTACAGTGAGTCACAGTCATCACCCCTACAGAGGCCAGCAGTTCCCCCAAGCACAGAATCACTGAAGAAGCAGTTAATTATTTTTAAGCCTAATACTCAGAAAATCAAGACAAGGAAAATGGTCATTTTGGTCCTTCTAGCAATTACGATAAGACGCCAACTGTACTAAAGGTACTTTGGAAGCACACAGAGAGGAGAAGGAAGGTGTTAGAGTTTGCAAAGGACATTCACCACGTGCACGGCTCTGTTTCGTCTTTGGCCCCAGCCTCCCAGGTTGGTTGAGCAGGAGTTCCCCTGCCCTGCTCCTCATTTGAAGATACAGAAACGGAGGCTCAGAGGGGAACTGACTCATCGGGGGGCACCAAGACTTGGAAAGTGACTCTCTCCCTAGGAAAGAGGCCAGGTGCCTTTCGCGCCCCAGCCCCGACACGCTCACTCTGAGATGTGAGAGCATCATACCGTAGCCGCGGTAATCCTCAAATCCGGCTTTGTTTGATAGGGATGAGAATAAGGCTCTGGGAGATTTGGCCGGCTATAGTTCACCTTAGCACCACTGGAGCTAAGAGGGAGATTTTGGAGGATGACGGAGGAAATATTATCTCAAGTGGAATTTAACTAGAGCCCAGGAACTGAGAACTCCAAGGGAGAGGAGGGGACGGGAGGGACATTCATGGAAGCTGCTCTGTGCTAGGACCCTTTGTAAATGCTTCCTGCTTGGTCTCCACCCTGTCCAGGAGGCGGCTCTGGCTCCACCAGGTTGAATGTCCTACCCAAAGTTATCGGCCAAGCTCCACTGAGCCACTGTTTTAGAGCTGGAGCGCTGGCCTCTGACCAGTCCTGATTATGTTCCAGACTGTTCCAAAGAAGCCACCCACCTCCTGGCTGCACGACTGGAATCAAGGAGACACTGGGGTCTCTGGCCTTGGTTCTCTGGCACCCTCATGGGGCTGCCAGGAAGGATCTGCTGTGATCTGTGGCCCGGGTGACCCGGAGTTAGGCCCCAGCTTCTCCAAAGACACCTTAAAAAGGTTTCAACTCCTCTGGGCTCTCACTAACCTGACATGAGGAGGAGCTTAAGGGAAGGAGAAACTTCTGGATGTGTTTGGCAGAGACAATTGGCAACATCAGCCCGGGCCAGTGAGGCGGAATTCAGCCTCTGTCTCTGCATCACTGAAGAGTTTTATTTTTAAAATAAAATAGGAAGGCCTGTGAAAGTGGCGCTTCTCCTTTCTTTCCCTCTATTCTGAAAGCTATGTCCAAGAAATAAAACATAGAGCGTAAATAAAAAGTAAAGAGAAAGGAACTGGTTTTGGCACCAGATATACTCAGAACACAAGAACAGCAAGAGTAGGCAACGTTTTCCTTCCTTCCACCCCACTCTGGGAGACCAAGAGCCTTAGAGCAGACAACATGGGCTGTTCAGCTCGTGGTGCCCCGAAATCTTGCCCTAACACTCCCAAGTGGACATTCTCCGGGAGACAAGCCGAAGCAGACCCAGTCCGCCAACACCTACGTTCCCGCCATGTCCTTTCGCTCCCTTTTTCTCTCTCATTCGCTATTTCTTAGAACCTCCTAAGTTTTCCTGGTTTCAGGGGTACGACAAGCTGCAGGGAACCCTTTAACGAAGCCCCACTCATTCAGCCTGGGCAGAATCTCCACGCGGCCTGGGGGTCCGGCTCCTTCCTCCGTGGGGACCGAGTGCCCACTCTGATGCCGCCCAACAGCCGAGCGCCCTGAACACAGACATCCAGGTGAGTCATTCCGGTTCCTTTATGAGCGTGGACACTGTCTCCACGGCTCCTTCCTAGGAAGAAAAAAAAAATTATTTTGTTTTGTGACATGGCCCAGTTTGGCTTTTGCCTCTCGAATGTAGAGAGACATGTTTGCCTTGCTGTCATCCCAGAGAAATAAAAATGCAATAGGCCTGTGAACATGGTCGGTTTGCCTTCTTTTTCTTATTCTAAAAGTTGTGCTCAGCATAATGTGGAACATAAAAAAGAAATAGAGAGAAAATAATGAGGTCTCGTTACCCAATCTTACTTAACTTTAGGATTGCGTTTGCCCATCTTTTTCCCTGACACATAGAGTCATTTGTTTGTCATTCATGAATAAGCTTATTTGTTTAAGCTACAAGGTTCCCTTGTGAGATAAATGTGTTTTTTTTCTCTGATTTTTAAGATAACACATGCTTGATGCAGAAATTGATGAAAATATAATAAAGAAAACTCCCAAACCATTACCAAATTGACCACATAGTTAACCATTGCATATTCATGGTCTGATATTTATCCTGCTCACTCCTTTTAAGAGTTTTGAGTATAAATAAATTTGTGTCCATGAACTAGCGTGGGTTTTGGAGGCATGGCTGGATGTGATTCTCAACCCTACAGCACTGTACCCTGGAGGAATGGATTCCACGGTTTCACCTCTGTTTCCTCACGCATCAAATGGGGATGTTACTACCGACTTCCTGGATCTCAGTGGGAACTAGTGGGATTAATTCATGGAGGACTATGTTCAATGAGTGCTATTATTATTGTTGTTATTTTTCTTTCTCTAACATTGTATACAA